TTATTTATCACAAACATATCAAAATTATTAGTTTTATATACAAGTTTGACTCGATTATTTTATAAAACTGTTAATAAATCACATTATGTGGAAATCAACCCCCAAACCTTATAATGTAGACATTGTCTTTGTTGTTTTGATCGAAAAATTTGCTTACTACTAAGCTCAAAATAGTAAATTTCATTACATATTTTGTTAGATTTTAGACTTTTGGTTTGGTTTGACCTTTGTGGTCAAATATTTGATTTGATTTTATTGGCTAACCTTACTTTTCGACACTAAAATTTCTTCCTGCCACAAGTATAATTGGTCTATCTTTCCGTTATATTTTAGCTAAGACTATCAAAGAGGTTTTCTATATAACTTAAAAAAAAAACGTTTGCTACAGAAAAAATTGTAGATACTACCTTTTCATGCATTTATTCATATTAATTCAAAAAAATGAATCATCTCAGAATTTTTATATTTGTTATTGCTATATACGTTGGGTTGAATGAAGCTTGCAACCATGGCATATTAGAGATTCAAAATAAATTCGGTCCCGGTCGTGATCTCAACTTTGCTTGCAATAGTGATTCAGGACGTGGCACGTTAAAATTTTTTGTAGAGGCAGTAAATTTATCCACTAAAATATGGATAATAATTTTGATTCACTTGTAGGAGTTCGGGAATTCTGTGTAGTTCTTGTCTTGTTGGAGTCTTAATATAATCACATGCTAGTAACTCAGTTGCCGTAAGAACTTTAAAAAATTCCTATTCACAGTCTCTTGATTTCGTCCAAATCTCAAACCAACATCTCTTTGAACTTTATTGTGTCCATATATCCGTAGAAACATAGCGACACTTTCTTCAACGCTTATATTTAATGTGGGTTGTAGACCGTAATCTGTTTGTAGCATATCACATAATGTCTTGAAACACGGAAGTGACATTCGGAGTAACTGAAGACAAGCAGCATTTTGCTGTAATCAACGCCAAATATTCCTCCATCCCAAACCTCCATCGGTTTGGACGGGTGCTCTATGAAAATAGCGCTCATAGTAAGTCAAAGTTGGCTGAATTATTAGCTCCTCAAATTGGTATTTTCTAAATTCCATAGTCCAATTTGTTTTTCATAGTTTAAATTATGGAGGCCTTGTGATCGCAGCTGGCATATACGAAAAACCTGAAGTTTTATAACAACGAGAAAAATTATTAGAAGGTAATTATAAAGTTAAAAAATACACAAACTTCAAAAGGCAAACAAATAAAAACAAATAAAAAATTTGTTCAGGGTTCAGAATTTTAAGATTTAGGATTTAAATATTCATAATTAGTGGCATTTTTGCAAAATAGACAACTCATTATGTCATTTTTGAAAAGTGGCACACCAAAATTGGCATTTTTGCAATTGTCCCAAGAAAATTAGCACTAATGCTATTGAATT